GCACACAACTGTAATCTCAGCTACTTGGGAGGCTGAGGCAGGAGAATTGCTTGAACCCGGGAAGCGGAGGTTACAGTGAGCCGAGAGTGCACCATTGCACTCCAGCCTGGGTGACAGAGTGAGACTCTATCTCAAAAAAAAAAAAAAAAGAAAATAGCTGGGCATGGTAGCATGTGCCTGTCTCAGCTACTCAGGAGGCTGAGGTGGGAGAATCACTTGAGCCCAGAAGGTAGAGGTTGCAGTGAGCCGAGCTCACACCACTGTACTCCAGCCTGGGCGACAGAGAGAGACTCTGTCAAAGAGAAAGAAAGAAAGAAAGAGGAGAGAGAGAGAGAGAGACAGACAGACAGACAGACAGACATAGACAGAGAGAAACACACCAAGACAACACTCTTGTGTTGTGAATTTGACTATCGGTCTCGAGTCCACACCTCGTGGCCAGCTCCTGTGGACTACAAGACAGGTCCCCTGTCCCTAAACCCAGGTCCTCACTGGAACCAAAAAGTTTCTGAGTCTCAAGCTCTGGAACCAGAGAGGGGAGGAAGGTCCAGTCGAGACTCAGTTCCAACTCTGTTAGTCAAGTTTGTTTTTTGTTTTTCTTTTTATTTTTTGAGACAGGGTCTCGTCCTATCACTGACGCTGACTGCAGAGGCATGATCATGGCTCACCGCAGCCTAGACCTTCCTGGGCTCAAGTGATCCTCCTACCTCAGCCTCCCTAGATCTGGAGCTTCAGGCTTGCACCACCACGCCTTACTAAATTTTGTATTTCTGGTAGAGATGGGGTTTCGCCATGTTGCCCAGGCTGATGTTGAACTACTGAGCTCAAGCAATCCGCCAACCTCGGCCTCTCAAAGTGCTTGGATTACAGGCTACTGTGAGCTACTGCACCTACCTGCTGGTCATTAGTGATGATCATCAAATATTTCCAAAGCTGTCTTCTGGAGGCATGGTAGGGCTGTTCTCTCTTGGCCACTTACGGCTGGGTAAAGCCATGTGACTTTTTCTGGCCAATGAGCAGTGAGATGAAATAGTGCATCATTTCTGAACCAGAGTATTTAATTATGGGTATGAAGCCTTCTAGATATGTCTTTCCTCAGCTACAGTGACCCAAAACATTCCAGATAGTGACAACTCTTTTTTTCAGAGACAATCTGTCACCCAGGCTGGAGTACAGTGGTGTAATCACAGCTCACTGCAGCCTTGAAATCTTGGGCTGAAGTGATTCTCCTGCTTCGACCTCCCAAGTAGCTGAGACTACAGGTGTATGCCACTATGCCCAGCTAATTTTAAAAGGTTTTTTAGAGATGAGATCTTGCTATGTTTCCCAGGCTGGTCTCAAACTCCTGGGCTCAAGCAATCCTCCTGCCTCAGCCTCCCAAGCAGCTGGGACTACAGGCATGAGCCACTGCACCCAGCTCAGAAGTTACTTTTGTATCGTTTTTACCACCCCCACCCCCGCAAGACTTTGGTGCTATTTGTTACAGTGGCATAAACTGGCTTGTCCTGACTAATACATTACACCATTGACATCACGGCACCTGAGTCTAGCCAAGGACTTCTATGTTAGTTTACTAGGGTTGCTGTAACAAAGTTCCACAGATGGGGTGACTTCGGCAACAAAAATGTGTTGCTGGCCAGGTGCAGTGGCTCACATCTGTAATCCCAGTACTTTGAGAGGCCAAGGTGGGTGAATTGCTTGATCCCAAGAGTTCAAGACCAGCCTGGGAAACATGGAAAAACCTTGTGTCTACCAAAAATATAAAAATTAAGCAAGGTGTGGTGGCACGTGCCTGTGGTCTCAGCTATTTGGGAGGGTGAAAGGATGGTTTAAGCCCAGGAAATGGCCGGGCGCGGTGGCTCAAGCCTGTAATCCCAGCACTTTGGGAGGCTGAGGCGGGTGGATCACGAGGTCAAGAGATCGAGACCATCCTGGTCAACATGGTGAAACCCCGTCTCTACTAAAAATACAAAAAATCAGCTGGGATTACAGGCACACGCCACCATGCCCAGCTGATTTTTTGT